GGCCTACTTGATGTGAATATAAGTATGTCGTTGTAATCGAAGATGCTACTTATTTTCCTTGCAAGTAGCTTTCGAGATTATCATAAATTTGCATCTGGTCTAATCATCTGATTGTGGGAGTCCTTAAATCACCATGAGCGTCCTGGTCTGACTAAGCTGCTATTCATGAACCTTTTTTTCATAAGTGATAAGATTTTCGAGATTACCAGTAAATCAGATATATGAGCTGTCTACACCCTATTTCGTTTGAGGTGATGAGGAGCTGGTAGTTGATTTTTCCCACAATGAAATGAGTAGAGCTGATGTTTTCATTGAATTTCACATAGCCTTGCTTTCCCAAAAGGTGTTCCCATCCAAGGTCGACTGCAGTTTCGACCTCGCATAGGTCTTATCAACACCCCAAACGGGAGTCGAACCATGACAGTGCAGAGTGTAAGCTCGATACTTCAACCACTACGCCACATTGCCACGAGTGCAATAGGGTCACAGGGCAGATGTGAATTTCAAGAAATATCAGACATCTTCCATATCAAATTCTGTGTTGGGGGATATCGATGAAGCAAACTTCTATTTGCTACAGCAATCGACAACATTACTTTTTTCGTAATTGAGTAGGATTTCAACTAATATATTCATGTATTATATTATCGTCGATGCCATCTTCTCACTCCGTCTGTGCAACAGGCCTGGAATGCACAAGTCTCCATCCAGCCAACTCTGGCCCCTTCTGCCGGCTCCAGCTCGAGTCTAGCCGTGTTGGGACGACGTCTCGGCCGTTCCATGGCCATCATCCCGACGCCAGATTCACCTGTCGGTTGGCAACCATCCTCTCCGACCGGAGCCATGCATCGCTCAAGTTCTGCGCACAGCGGCGGTACGCCCCGGATTCTGACCGACGCGGTGGCCCCGAGCCCGCCAGTTGCCAGGGCCAAAGCCGCCGGATTCGGGTATGCTCCAGTGCCTCGGGCCGGCCAGTTCAGCGCAAGGACACCGGCACCGGCACCGGCACCCCCCCTCATCGCCGCCAGAGGCAGGCCGGCGACGGGACCGGCCACCTCCACGAAGTTGGTCAGTCTGACGGGTCGGCCAGGGTTTCGACGGGCCAGAGGGGCCGCGGGGACTGAGGCAACAGCCGGGCTGAAGCTCCACGATGGTCGCATCGAAGGGGATGCATACGACGCAGACGGCAACGGCAACGGCGATGGCGATGACGACGGCGACGGCGAAAACAGCGACGTGGTTCCGGCAGGACAGAGGCAGCGCAAGGGCGCCAACGACGACACAAGCTGGCCCAGCGTCGAGCCGAGTCTGTCGCCGCTACCAATACGCCAACTTCCTCGCCAGCAGCTGCATCATCGGCAGCAGATTATGCACTACGGCCAGCCAAACAGTCAACATCAACACCAACACCAACGTCAACACCAGCAACACCAGTCGGGCCAGTCATTGGGCTCCGAGACGAGGACCGGATCGGAGACTCTGGAACAGCCGGCCGAATGGACGAATCTGCCTCCGGGCACGCCAGGTGTGGTGCGACGCCAAATTCACCGATTACAACAGCACCAGTACCAACACCAACACCAAAATCAGCAGCAGCAGCAGCAGATGAGCCCAGTGGGGCTGCGACCTCTAGGCGGATGGAGCGAGCAGCCTCTGGCCCTGCCGATCCGATCACCCCGGACGGATAAAGAGACAAAGCCCGCTGTCGTCAAGTAAGCTTCATCTATAATTTGACACAGAGTTATGAGGGAGAAGAGAATGTGGTTGCTGGGGCGGCTGTACTTCACAGACTTGGATTTGATGCACTCTGGGAGTTCGAATCCCATCAGATACGCTTTGGAAGCAATGAATTGCTGACGAACGGTTTTGCTTGGGTCTATGGTAGCTAATCGGCTCACCATAAAATATGACATGTTCACGCAGGGCAAGCTTAGTTCGCTTTCCTTCAGAGGTACACTAGCCTGTAGGGCTAAAGCTATGTTCATAGTGAGGCTTTGACTAAGAACACTTTTCGTTTGAGTCTACGGAAAGTGATATGCCATAGCATCATACCGTAACACCAGATTATGTGTCCACCCTATTTCGTTTAAGGTGATGAAGAACTGGTTATTGAATTTTCCCACAACGATACAAGTATACCATACGTCTCCATCAAATTTAACAGAGCCTTACTTCCCAAAAGGTTTTATCTGCAAGGTATTCCCATCGTCGCCCGAAACGTCGGAGGATGTCTCGCAAACTGCACCAACCTGAACGCCAAATGGCTGCAATACAATGGAGTCTTCTGTTATGATTGACTTAGGAATATGTTCATCATGCGCTTTCGTAAAAAATGAAAGTCTTCACAACAAGTATTTTTAACTTGGGGCATTTAGCTATGAGAACCTGAGACATCTTATGAAGCTTAGGGCGAATTGGAGAGCAGATCACTTTTTCATTAAGCTAAACTAATAGAACTCCTCAGGCTGCAACTGAATTGCACTTTGTCTTGTCCCTCTAAGGGCTTTCCCATCTAGGCTATTCTTAAATCAACCTAAAACAGGTTGTAACAATCAAGTAGCAAAGTTAGCATTCCGCCACATGGCCACTAATGTTAGTGGATGACATAAAAGATATCTCCTTTTATGGTGGGCAACACACTAAACCAATCAAGCTCAACATATAATTGATATGGATCGTGCTAAATTGTATTTGCAACTACACCTAACTATATTACTATTCACCAAATGAGTAGGTTTCGAATGTATCAGAAACTCGATTCTTAATCATTATGTCACCTTAAACGACTTGCGGGTATTTCAAACTCCTATAAACAGATTTACACATTTTAAAGCATCCTATTTTTGTTATATTTAGTTTGGTTTTATCTTTTAGGCATTTTGGAGTCAATGGATCCTACAAATGTATTTATTATGAAGACTGTTTTGGTTGGCCCTTAAAATGGATATGTTAAAGGGGTTTATGATGCAGAGTAGACTGACTTACTTGAACTGACGAATGATAAAAATGGTAAGGTTTATGGGGATAGATTTATAGGCGAGTTGGATCTGGCTGACAAATGCTGACATGATTTCGGACTTTCATGAGTTAGATTTTTTATTGTATAGTATTATACAACCTGATTCTACCCAAGATGAATAGAAAAAGAGGCTTGATTTTGCAGTAAACTCCACTTTGTCATGAGTCTAAAATAAACTTGATAAGAGGCCTCGAGCCCTCATCAATCACCCTATCGTATATCGAACCACATGCATGTGTTGGTTCATTGGCAAACATTTCACCCCTTATGTTAAACGACCTGGAGGCCTTAAGGCTACCCAAAAGGTGGGATTTTCGCGGGTTGTCTTGCTTGGAATACCATGCCTGCCTTACATCTCAATAAAAGTAGCGATGTGTATAGAAGGTATTAGTGTTCGCCTCAGGATTCATATGTCCTGGGCTCGAATCCTGCTGGTGGCGGAGGCCTAATTTGCAATCTATCCTGGAAGATAATTGAATCTCGGAAGACATTGTAAAGCCTTATTCTACAGCAAAATTATGTCTTGATTGCCTTTCATTGTGAGTTGTTCAGGTGACAGTGCCTAAATTACAAGTCGACCATTGTTTTCCAAGGATGATAAGATGGTCAAGGCAGAGAAAAGCAAGCAAACCAAACCAAAAAGTATTAAATTGTTATGGCAAGCAGATCATCAGTGAAAACATAGCTAATTCAATCTAACCAGAATAAGCCTTTAAATAACATTCTTAAATTAATTCTTACAACAAGAAAGCAGTGAGGTTGCATTTGTGTCCAGGCTACACTGTAGCCTGGCCCCGGTCAGTGAAGGAGCAAACCTCTCACTCTCCTACACGCCCCATTGTTTACACAGCCTGGTTGGACAGACAGATTCCAAGAAAGGACTCGCTCTGAGAGGCATAGTTCCAGTGAATGTCGATCCGAAATAAACAAATTTCAGATAGATAGGTAGATAAATAGAAAGGCAAACAGGCTGGCAGATAAATAAGTCAATAGATAGGTTGTTAGTTAGACATGCATACAGACAGACGGACATACATACATACAGATATGTAGATAGATAAGTAGATGAGTTTATATATATATATATATATAGAGAGAGAGAGAGA